TGACATAGCTGCCTAAGAAAGAGACCTATTGGGCTTTCCATTCAGGACAAGGCTGTGCTTGCAGCCCACCTGGAAGTTTTTTCAGCCATTGGCAGACATTTGGGGACAGGCTAACCCCTTCCTGGGTCCTGAAGCAAAGCTCCAGTAAAATTTTCAAAGCTAGCATATACATTTCAAAATGTTTCATTTTCAGTTTGGTGAAATGCTTCATTACACAGCTTGGACAGGAGATGTTCATATGGCCCTGGAGTTTACTAGAACCCCGATTCAACTCGAGACTTGGAAACGCGAATAAACGTAGGTACTCGAGATAGCTTGCCTGGCACTTGTTGACTAAGGGCTCCGAGACAGAGCCCTCAAGCTCCAAAGGTGAATTTGGGACCCAACTTGGGGTGATGAAGGGGCCCACGGAAGAGAACATGCTGGCACCAAACAAAGAGCGGGGTGAGAGTGGAGAGAGGACCACACCTCGATCCACCTCTTCCAGTCCAGGGGCAGAGACGGGGGCAACAAGGTGACACTTCTTCCTTCCAGTGCTTCCTTTCAAATGGACTTAGCGGTCCCCAGCATCCCAGAGGAGGCTGCTACTCCTGTCACCCTCTCTTCAAAGCCAGACACGTGCTGTGTGCTCTTTATGGACAAAGGCCGCGGGCGCCCCGTCGTACACGAGAGCTATGGATCTGAACATAGCAGTTCGGACCCATTTCTGTTTCCTCCTGGCTCTTGTCTGTTCAAAGTCATGGTGAGAAAAGTGTTAAGATAAGCAAAATGGCCACTGGCTCTGTGCCTGAAATGCTCCCAGAGAGAACTCATCATGTGAGCACAACCTGGAAGGACGCGGCGCTTCTCTGCACCTCTGTGCATGCGGCAAATATTCTTGGGATTACAATAAAAAGGCTATGTATTGACAGTACAGGTCAAAATATTTGGTGCTAAAAGCAGAAGACCTAATTACAATGAAAAAACGCAGCGTGCAGGTTTCTAAACAGTCACAGACTTGCCTTGAGCATATTAAAAATCACATCATCCAAAAGCCCTAAGCAGTTTCTTATTAATCTAGTCTCTGTGCTAATACAGTCAAATGGGAAACAAAATCTTGGGACTAGGAAGGCCAATGTTATTCTATTAACCTTATATGTTATCCTATTTACTTTCCTGTCTTTAATGAATAAATTAAAAGGTCCTCTCATTCTCTAATTGCCCGATGGAGTACGAGAATGTGCTGCTTTTATTCAGCTGAATTCTGCGGCCTTCACAGCCCAAACACTATCATTTTGTGGGGGATTTCAATGAAAGGCAATGACAGATAAACTGTTTACATTAAAAGACTCTCTCAAAGTTATTTTGCACCTGGTTTCATCCTAATCCATCTGCTGTTTCTAGAGCTCTGACAGGCTGACCCCTCTCGCTGTCATTACTGAAGGCTGATAACAAAGTAAATGGAAATGGAGTGAAACCTTGGGGAGGTAACAACTTGTTCAGCATGATGAGGGAGAACTGAGGCTAAAAAATAGGAATGATTACAGCAGGGAAGAGTATCTGTTGTCACAACTAATGTGTTCACTCTAGCTCATCAGCTTCAAAAGAGCAGCTGATAGCAGCAGCAACATTTATTGCATCTTTTTTCATTAGTGAACCTTAAACATAAAAGTGGCTTTAGGGCCTCCCCGGTGGCGCAGTGGTTGAGCGCTGGGTTGCGAAGCTGCCCGCGGCCTCTGCGGCGCCGGTTTGATCCCCGGCTGCTCCCCGGCAACCGGAGGAGGGTCCCGCATGGCGCGCAGACCTCTCCTGCCGCCCGCTGCTCCCCTCAGCAGTGTGCTTCTGTCCTTCTGCCTGCTCTGCTCCCCGCTCTGGCTCTGGTGAATTCTCTCACCCTCCCGCGCTTCTGACTGTACCCAGTGCATGTATAAACAAAACAAACAAACAAACAAATAAATAAATAAAACATGCCTCTATTAAAAAAAAAAAAAAAAAAAAAAAAAAAAAGTGGCTTTAATTGAACTTGGCGACTATGTTTGGAGCTTTCAACATGCATCACAGGTGGAAGGGATCCCAAAGTCACCGGGATGTTCTAATTTTCGGCTACCATGCAATTCGTCTCATCTGCAATTATCAAGGAGCAACCCGCCAGCGAGCTGGCCCAGCAGTAACAACAAAAACAAAGAAAGAAAATTGGATCAAACACGGAGCTCCAAGAAAATAGAGAGAAAAAAAAATGGGATCAAATATAAAACCAGAATCAAGAACTCAGATTAAAAGTAAGCTGCTCGGTGTGAGATAGTGATCTTCAGATACACAATCAAAACGGTGATGTGGAGGAGCAGAGTTAGGAAGACAACATTTTTTTGTACATGTTCACATCTCAAGGTGGGGCTCTGCTGCTGGCATCTGGTTGAAAAGCCCAGACATCCCTGCTAACAAGCTTTGAATTAAGTGCACATTTCTAAGGATACCAGGGAAATTCTCAAGCAGAAAAAGAAAGATTAAGTTAAATGAAATTGGGGACATCAGAACTACTTACAAGAATGTACCTAGACAGCACTCACTGAAATACTTTCGGGCACAAAGCGAACTTGAATTGTTCACTCGGGTTGGAAAGCACCCACACACAACCCCTCCAGTTCACGCTGAGAGAGCCTTTAGCTGAGCTTGGCCGCTAATGGAACTAGCCAGTCGTAGTCCAGTGGGGACTCACCGGGTCACATCTTCCAAGGTTTTAGTCTTATTTACATTCATAACAAGAGGGGACGAGTATGAGCACGCTCTGTGGGCAGTTTCGTTTATGGCCTTTATGCTTTTAAGATCTGCTGCTTCTCATGCCAGTGGAGATGACTGGGCATGAGGGAGCTGTGACCAGATCAAAACTGGGCAGAGCAGACCGTCCCACCACCAGGTTACAACAGACCACGGGCTTAGGCTTGTGTAGATCCAACATCATGAGGCCACTCAGTGGAACGCCAAATAGACATTCACCTGGTCCCAGGAAGACGGGCCGGGGCGGGGGGTGCTGGAGTTTGGCCACCATGCGTACTAAAAACCTTTCTCACAGGTCAAATTGTGGACAGCTTAAAAATGTAAAGACAGTAATTTTAATAAACCTGTCAATACAATTTCTTTGTTAAAAAAAATCAGTTGAGGCTGATTAGGCTGCTTGTATTGAGAGAGAAGCACAAGGTCTATATCTTTAGATCTGTTATTGAGCTGCAAGCACAGCATCAATAACTGCATCTCAGCTGTAAATGAAAATTGATTCCTGGTTTAACCCCTCATTTTCAGGGGTTCTTTTAATCCCAAAGAACAGTAGGAGAAAATAATAGACCAAAAGGAAAACTAAGGTTCAGTGGGAGGATGGGGGCGCGCAGGGAAGCCCACACCTACGCAGGCTGAAGCGGCCCGGCCCAGGAATCGTGCCACTCTCCAGCCAACCACTGGTGGCCTCGTCACAGTGTCCCTGGATGAATGGCTTGGAAATGGCAACTCAGTAAGTGTTGGACAGGGCTGAGTTCTGTATGTCTGATGGCAAGAGCAACAGCTGAGGAGTTGAAGCAGAGTGTGCTGACTGACGGACATCGATGACCCCCATGGGATTAAGTTCCAAGTTTAAAAAGTATCTGTGTATGCAGACACTCAGTACAAAACACTGCTTCCAACTCAAACACCATTCTGGAACATTCCGATGTGCTAAGCAGTGTCAGATGATTTTGCCTGTACTCATTTGCCTAATCATTGAATCATCACTATGACCCAAAGAGGCAGGTGTGATTGTTACCTGCATTTTGTAGAACCCTAGGTCCTGCATAGATGCCAAGGTCACCCAGTAAGAGGCAGTCAGGATTTAAACCTGTGTCCATCCAGCCGCAAACCTCTCCAACATGTGCCAGCACTGCCACGCCACCTTAGAAGGCAACATGGACACATCTGCGTCCCTAACTGTCCCAGCTGAGAACGCAAGACAACAGGGAGGCAGCTGTGCCTGCTCTTGCTAAAGCATTGAAGTTTGGCCTCATAACACTGTAAATTACACTGAATGGGAAGCGTCCTGGCATAGTGAAAAATTACAGATGGAAAGCATCAGGTGAGCCTTGGGAGCTTTTCTTCAGCTTTTCTTGCAGGCTCCTCACAAAATATTGAGTATGAAATTCTGTCTTTGTCAACCATCTTGAAATCCCAGTGCATGAGCATCCCCCAAACCGCCTATTTGTAGCTGTATAACTCAATAAACTTCACCACGTGAAGAATGTGGCCAGGTATTGGTTTTAAAACGCCTATTCTGTGTTCCTTCTTGGATGCTATAGACACACCCAGGACTCCACATTCTGGATGGTTCTTGCTCACAGAGAAAATATACAAGCTGCCATCACTGGCCCTGACTCTACGTGACCATTTTCATGATGCGTCAATGACCTTTCCAATCAAGACATCCAGTGGCAATGCCGCCAGCATGCTCCTGCCAGCAGACTTGCTGGTCTGTACTGTAAAGACAGTACTGACCGTACAGAGGGGGAGGTCAGGCAGCAGCAAGTTTTCACCAGATGTGTTGTTTTTGCCAAATGCTTTTTGCTTGAAGGTTGTGCCAACCTCCAGATGTTGGGGCTGATTCTCATCTGTGTTCTCAAGTGGTGCCCCTGGGCAGTGGGGGTGGCACTGTTCCACGTATGAGGGGTCATGAATTCACGTGTGTGGGCTCTAAACCTTCCACTGGAGTCAGAGAAAGAAACTTACACTCACCCCAAACATTACTCAGTCCAAGAAAGGCGAGACAGTTGCTGTTGGCTGCCGGCGACCCCAGCACGGCAGTTTGCAAGCGCTCAGCCTCTACACCCTATAGCTTTGGCAACATGGGCGCTTAGCCGCCCTGCTCCAGACGGCACCTATCTTGGCTTCTCCCCTCTCTCCGAAGCACGCAGACAATGCATGGTAGGTTTGCAGAGGGCAGAACCTTTCCAGTGCCTTCTGCTCCCTCCCCTCAGGTTCCAAACTGAGCCCTAAGCTGCTCTTACCTGGTAGAGCTCAGTGGCAGTGCAGTGCGTGGCCAAGGTCTTCACAGGCTCAAGGTCATCTTCATCGCTGCTCAGCTTCAGGTCATCCTCAAGCATCCTACGAGAAAGGCAGAGTGGCGCCTGGGTTAGGAAGAATCTTTTCTGAACATTCTCAGACACATCTTGCAACAAGGATAAAATATCGGCGCTACAATGTGACAGCTGCAATTCCGTCAAAGGTGCAGAGGGAACCAAGATTCTTGCAGCTAATTAGATATTTGAGCTCTTATATTTATGTTGGGTCTGACTCACGTCTTCCCTCTCTACTTTCCTCTAAATCAAGGGGAAAAGGGGGACTATTTCAGCTCCTCCAGAGATGACGGGGGTCTATATATTTTTACTACTGAAAGTGTAATAAATGGGCTGATCAATCACCGCGGAGGCAGGACGTGCCACAGCATCTCTATGGGAAGAGACACTCCGAGGCCCGGGAAGAGCAGGGCATGCCCACAGCCTAGCTCGCAGGAGACTGTTGCCCAAGCCTGCCAGGGTGCCCTGGATGTCAGAGGGAGAAGGCCCAGTGAGCTTCCACTGCCTTCTAGAGCTCTCTGCAAGGTGGCAGCACGGTGGCCACAAAATAGCTGGGCAAGAAATGGCTAGTCGGAGCCTCCCCGGTGGCGCAGCGGTTGAGCGCTGGGTTGCGAAGCTGCCCGCGGCCTCTGCAGCGCCGGTTCGATCCCCGGCTGCTCCCCGGCCACCAGAGGAGGGTCCCCCATGGCGCACAGACCTCTCCTGCCGCCCGCTGCTCCCCTCAGCAGTGTACTTCAGTCCTTCTGCCTGCTCTGCTCCCCGCTCTGGCTCTGGTGAATTCTCTCACCCTCCCGCGCTTCTGACTGTACCCAGTGCTTGTATAAATAAATAAATAAATCTTAAAAAAAAAATAAAAAAAAGAAATGGCTAGTCATTAACCTTTTGATATATGACCGATCTCATCCTGTAAAATTTGATCCAAGAGCTGTAAGCCCACGCTGTGGGTAAGACATCGCTCTCTCCTAGGGCAATGTACCTGAAAAATATGAGTGGTCTGAATTTTGGTGATGAACTAGCACTTTCCAAATTGTTTATCGAGCACTAGCCTTTTGTTTCCGTGGGGCTGTGAATCCCAGTGCCGCCCGCTCCATTGCAAATCTGAGGCGCAGCAGGAAGAGGGACTTCCTACCTTAAGATCCCAGTCACACAGCCTCCCAGGATGAACTGGCGTTAATATTTTTATTTATGAATTACTTAAGTCGATTAAATATTTATTAAAAACTAAATATTTCTTTAGACTTCAAGTGGGGGCAGGCCCAGCAGTTTTGGATTAATTACCATTTTGGGGGTGATGTGCCCTCCCTTCCTCCTTCCCCCCTTCCTTCCTTCCACTCAGGCTCAGCTCCCAGGCTAGGATTTCTCTTCCTCTGCTCTGGACATCCTGTTTTCCCTTGATAGCACAAAGAGATCCCAACTTTCCAGAAAGATCCGCCATGTCAGAAGAACCGCCATGTCAGAAAGAACGCCGTGTGCCCTGCCCCACCCGCAGCTCAGCTGGATCACCGCACAGGACCTCCTGCCCAGTGCTGTCCTCCAACAGTTCCTCATTCCCTTGTCGGCAGAGGGGGCGACTTCCTTCTACGTGGTGACTGCCATGTTTCTCCTTCCTTCCAGAGAGGCCTTCTCCGACACACCATAGCCCACCACCCTCATTTTGCACACAGAAAGGTCCTTCGGAGCCCGCTGCTTGGCTCAACGTGCCAGAGCTAGTCAGTGCTAAAGCCAGTCCCAAAACTCCTGATTCCTGCTTCTGTGTTTTTTTTTATTTTTCCAGAAGGGAAACTGGAAGAGAAAATGCAGTGCCTACGTTTATAAATAGGGGACCACAGTATTTTAGAGGCTATGTTCAAATGTCAGAGACAGAGTTGGGTCAGAGCGAGTGGGTATGACAACCCTCTCCAAAGAAAGCACAGCTCCCCCACTTTCACACCCAGCCACCTCAGCCCAGGAGGTGCTCACTGAGGTCTGAAAAGCAAAGACTCCTGTAAAGGATGGTTGGTGGGAAGGACAGCTGTCAGAGCTGCTTTCATACGAGCTGAATGTGCAGGATTTATGACTGTCCTTCAGGAGACTAATGGGTGTTTTGAAGATCTTACACAGGGAGACTCGGTGTATCTCGGCATTCCTCTTGCAGTTACAGGCTTACGCCTTTGAACAAATAATTCTTTACCGCACACTGTAGTAAATGAAGACTGACCATTCTCCTAATTTATAGAACTCATTCTAAAAGTACTACTGCTGGTCAGAAAGGACTTCGTTTTTGTGTGCGTAAGTGTGCACACACACTTTGATACAGGCAATGTCTCATGTTAATTTACATCTAAGTGTTCAGTAAAAATAAAGGAGCAATGATTTCTGTCATTGGAAGACCCATTTCTGTGGCAGGGAAGGTGTTAAGGATCTGACCAGCAGCATGCAAGCATGTCCCATTTTCCAGATGGAAACACAGAGACTTAGAGAACGAGAGGAACTTGCTCTTGATCACAGAGCTAGAAAACCATGCAAGCAAACATGGGAGCCAGACCAATTCCAGCCAGAAGTTGAGAGCATATCATGTTTTCCTAGAAGGTGTAACTTACAAAGGAAGGTGAGTTAAAACCAACAGCAACAACAGAAAACCCACAAAACAAAAACATGTTGATATGGAGTAGAGATGCCTGGATTTCAGTGCTGGTCAGACTCTCATGTCGTGGGAAGTCATTACTGGGCCTTATCTGTGGCCCTCATCTGTGGAATAGGCTACCAGTGTCTCACAGTGAGCTGAGCATAACGTGAGCTAGTGCGTATCTCATGCTTTATGAAAGCACAATATTAAGGCACAGCATCATGACTACTTTGGAAATATGTCATCTCAGTTAGAAACAATCTACATCATTAATGTTATTAACAAGTAATCACAAACAGGAAGTCTTCATGAGCCTCTGTTTTCATAATTTGCTGAACTATCTGAACAAGCCACAGTAACTCCAGAAACCTCTCAAGTCTCAAAAGCCAGATCCAGAAATGGGCTCGCGGTGTTCCTGTTACCCTCCTTCAGGGAGAAGGAGCACATCCAGAGCCAGAGCGTGGAGACCCCGACCCAGCAGCTATTTTACTCGCCAACCAACTGTATATAGTTTGAACATGAAAACTGAAGCTCCCTCACCAAGTATTGTTCTAGAATCAGGCAGCCGATCTACCTGGAGATAGACAGCAAACACTCATCATGTAACCAGCTTGCTATGGATTGCACTGTTAATTAAGGACCATTTGATGAATACACTCAAGTCCTGATAAACACAAGTCAAGCAAGTAACTAGAAAGGCAAACTACCCTTAGTTAGCCATGGAGGTGTTAGAGGTATTATTGCACCCCACAACTTCCCTGGCCTATTAAGCTTTGTTATTGAATATACATGTGCTTGGTTGTGTTTCCATCCATAGCTAATGCTTGAACAATACTCGAGAGAAAGTGTAGGATTACGAAAGATTTGGGATTTAATTATGGTAGCAGCACCATTCATATCCATTGCAGTTAAGGAGGGCTCAGCAGAAGAACAGCAATCTCTTCGCATGAGGTGATAATTCCACAGACAAATTCATCACACTCTGGATACCTCGAAATGTGAAGAAAAAAAAAAACACTCATAGAAATGCACGACTGTGTGTGTACTCTGAGAAAACGAAGATTGTTCTACTTTTCAATTAGATGAAAATAGTACAGAGTAGAGTTGTCTCCTCGAAGAAGACTTCAGATGTTTGCTTAGGATCTGGTGGTTTACAATGTCAGTCTCTGTGTGAAAACTGTTGTAATTTTATTGCAACTTATAATTTCTATAGTAGTAAGAAATAAAATAATCTATAAAACTGTGTCAACAAAACCAATTCCTTGCCCTGAAAAGATGATCCTATAAAAGCTCAAATAATGCAATTTGGGGTCGATGAGATGGAATGAACAAAAAGAAGAATGTGAAGGCCTGATGCTCCGGGCCCGGTCACCTCCAGCAACCCTGCCCCTTCACACGGTGGGATGCTCAGGTGGTTTTGAAGAGGGAAAAATAGAGCTTGAAACATTACAGAAAGTCCCAGGTAAATAAAATCTTTAGTTGAGGCAGCATGGGCTTAGAAACAAGGGCTTGAGAGCCAGAGACCCGAATTCAAATAGAAGATTTTCTAACGAATTTGTGCACTTGAGTTAGTTAATAAAATTTTTGAATCTCAATTTTCTCACATTAAAATACATATCTTGGAGAATTTTTGGAAGAACTTGAGAAAGGAAGTTTGTACAAATTGCACAGAAATCAATATAGGTAGCTATTGTTTTCATTTTGGTTATTATTGTAATAGTAAGCATTATTACCTGAGAAATGGTACTGCAGAGATTGAGACAATATCTTAAAGAGAAAGTTCTGGTGGCAATCCAAAGGCAGAGGTATCAAGTAGCAAGCACCATTAGAAGTCTTTGATCAGATGAGAGGTTCAGAGATTAAGGGGTTTGGAAAGTTTCAGGATTTGGATATACTCTTCTAGAATGTTCCAAACACATCATGGATGCTTTGGGTTTCCTGAGATTCTCCCAGAGTGAGACCCCTGGAGATTTTGTAGGCCAGTGGCAAGAGGAAACACCCACACATTTCCAAGAGCGAGTTACAAAAAAGTAAGATTGACTCTGACGTCTAACTCCTTATATGTATGGAGCTACCTGCAGACACAGAGGAAGGGGCCAATGTTGGATCCCATTGGGAGTTTTGCTCGCCTGCAGCACCCTGTCTCATGGCCCAGCACCCTCGGGAGGCAGTGCCAATACATACCTGATGGTAAACTTTGTATGTAAGACTGGGTTAGTTGACCCAGAATTAGTTGGGTTAATCTACAGATGGCTGAGTGGTTCTCAGCACCTTTTCATCAATCACAAAACATCAACAATAGGCCTCACTTACACCCATGAGGAGTGCTATTACCTCTGGCTGAATTCCAGTTTCCAGGTGTCTATGGAGATAGCTACAAGGTTGGTGACGTTCAAGGTGACCTTGGTTCTTAAAATCAGAAG